GCACTGCTCGTGGGGCCCAGTGTGGGTGCTGGGACCCAAACCTCAGTTCTGCAAGAGCAGTATGCGTTTTTAGCCTCTGAACCATCTCTACAAGCCCTAGATTTTTCATCAACTACTCTGCATCTTTTAATTGGAAACCTAAGACAATTTATAATCACGGTCATCGCTGAGACTAATTACTCACTCCAATAATTTGCTGTCACTGTCTTGATTGATTCAATACTATTTGTTCTTCTGTAAAGCTTTACTCATTTTTGGGGGTCCTGACTTGCTGAGTTGAACATGTCTGGTTCTTTCTTTTCTCTCATTTGTTCATGGTTCTTCTCAACATATTTAATTTCTTCTGGGCTCTTGTGTCTGTGGTTGTCTTGCTTCTCTTTTTATGCAGTTCCTTTAAGTATTCTTGGGATGTTGGCTAAAGGGTTATGAACTGTTTCAAGATGTGGTTATCTTACAGTGACATTATTTTTTCATCATGCCATGTAAGCTAACTTCTCTGGATGAAGCAGCTCTGTTGCCAGTTATTTATTTGCAGGGCTTTCAATATAACATTCTAGACTGGCGAGGTGACAAAACCTATAACTCCAGCATTTGGACGTCTTCTTACATAACAATTTGCAGTGCAACCAGGGATATATTAAGAAACTAATTTAAAAACTTATATATGCATATTCTGTACTGCATATATGCATACAAAACTGTGAATGTGAACACATATAATCATATGAATCAAATTTGTACATGTATATATATATCTTTATGTATATATATGTATAGGATGAGTGTATGTATATGATCTGATACTTTTCTGAATTTTAGAGTTCAATAAAAACTATAATATTACTTTTATGAGTTTGCTCCTGTGAGTTAGTGATTTTTTTAAACAAAAGTCATACTATTTTTATGTCCATGTGTATGTGTGTACATTTAGAGACTAGAAGTTACCTTGTAATATCTTCCTCAATTGCTTTCGACTTTATGTTGAGACAGGGTCTCCCACTGAGCATGGAATTGTTTTCGTCCAGCTGGCCAGAAAGCTTCTGGACCTGCCTGTCTCTGGCTCCATGGCACTCGAGACACATGCACTGCTATGCTCGACATTTTTCGTGTGTGTCCCAGCTTTGTGCACTGGGGACTTTATCCACAGAAGCTTCTTCTGTGTCCCAGTGATACCACTAAGGTGTACATTCATTTACTCCCAGCAGTCTTTGCCCTTATATATTTGTGGAATTTCTGGGGCTCCACATTATTGATAAGGTCTAAGAAATAAAAAATCCTATTTTATCCATCACTGCAACCCTCCTTATACCAAAAGTGAGAGGTATAAAAGACATTATACAATGATATTATTTGTTTAATGGGAATTTTTAAAAATAGAATATTACTATCATACTAAAGACAAAAAGATCCTAAAGGTGATTTTTAAAAAAGTTCATGTTTGAAGAGAAAGGGAAAGATAGGGCGAGGTCAGTCCAGGTGGGAAACCATTCCCTTCATTGAGAGAACTGCGTGCGGTCCCACCTTCTTGCTGATGTATTAAAGATCTTGGACTTCTCCAATGTCTTTGTTTTCTGGTAGCCAAATCCACCACCACCTCCTCTCATTTTAAGCTTGCCATTATGACTTCTCACATTCAAATGAACAAAAGGAGGGACCTTAAACCGAAGACAGAGTGGCTTGAGGTAAATTTAAGTTGTTCACATTCAAAATCTGCTTGAGCATGTGGTAGTCATATGCTTGTATGTGTGACGTGTATGCTTCCTGTGTGGATTTACAGAGAAAAAGTTAGTGATTTTGCTCTTGTATCTTTTAATATTGTCTCTTTATTCTAAGCTGTGGCAGTTTAATTAGAATGCGACTTGGAAAAGTTATTTCCTAGACATGTTTATTTGACATTCTAAATGTCTCTTGGTGTCTTATATTTGGATATAAATATTCAGTCCTATATGAGGGATGACCTGCTATAATTTAACTACATAATTGTCTATTCCTTCAGGTTTCTATCAAAACCCCCCTCACAGGCCATGGATCTAAAGCATGCTCTGTTGAATATGTCCACACATTCTTGAGCCATGGGACCATGATCATTCCTTATTTTCTGTGTTGCCATCTTCATTGTCTTCTGTCCTGACCCGGTTGTGCAGTGGTCTTGGCTCTGCAGCTAATCCTCAGGTGACAGGTTTGCTTCATCATGGTGGGAAAAAGCCACTGACTACCACACCCTCCAAAACATGGGTCCCCAGTGTTTGCATTTTTCAGTGGGTACATGACTAAGTCTCCTCTCTACAAATTCCTGACCTTGTATCCCCTTGGTGGGAGGGCATTCACAGGTCCTTTGCTTTCAGGTCACCATAGCAGCTGAGTTTCCTTCTTAAGATGATGAGTATACAAGTTGCCATCTTAAGATGATGCCTAGCTCCAGCACTCTGAGATGTGTGTTGGCTGTCTTAGTTCAGGTTTCTACAGCTACAATGAAACACCAGGACTGAAAAGCAAGAGGGGGAAGAAAGGGTTCATCCTGCTTACACATCAGTATTGTTCTTCACTGCAGGAGGTCAGGGCAGAAACTCAAGCAGGATAGGAACCTGGAGGCAGGAGTCAGTTCAGAGGCCAAGGAGGAGTGTTTCTTCCTGGCTTGCTCCTCATGGTTTGCTCAGCCTGCTTTTTATTTTATATAGAATCCTCGACCATCAGCCCAGGGATAGCACCACCCACCACGGGCAGGGCCCTCTCCCATGACTCACTAATTAAGAAAATGCCTTAAAGCTGGATCTGCCAGAGGCATTTCCTCAACTGAGGCTTCTTTTCTTGTGAATCCAACTTGTGTCATGTTGGCACACAAAATCAACCAGTACAGGTGGCAAAATGGATTTCTTCAAAGCCAGCTCCGCATGCAGAGGAGTGACGCTAACATGGATCCCTTGATGTGTTAAGGCTCGTGAGAACCATGGAGTGAAATCTGCCAGTCAGTTTTTCCAGGGCCACCCGGCTGCCCTTGTGCTTGTTAGTTTGGCTCCTGTGCCTGGGGAGCAGGGCTGGAGCCCTGGGCTGTTTTCTGCTTGTCTCAGTCTCTGTTAGCCACACTTGTCAGGATCCTGTCTTCTCTTTTGTGAGACCTGATGCCCTTCCTCTTTGTATCCTGGAGGACTGAGCCTGTCCTTTGGAATGTAACCCTTTCACACAGGAGAAGTTTCTAAGCTGGCGTTCCACCTCGCCTTGGGAAGCATATGTCTTAGTGAATCTATGTGTTTCATAGGGGTGCAGGTATCCTTGTGTGAAGCTTGGTGTTTTGTAAATTCTAGGATCAGGCAAGTTTAATATAAATAGTATTTTTTGACACTGAGATCTTTATAGCCATACTTTGCAGGAGGTAGCCCGTACCCAGACACATAAATATAACCTGTCCCCTGTTCTATATGGATGCCAGAGATGAATGTTTAGAAGTGTAATATGAAATTAGAGTATCCATAGAATCCAGATAGACAGAAACAAGTTTTGTGAGGATTTCTAGCATCGGGGGACAGAATGCACTGGTACGCATGGGGAAAGGAGAACAGTGTATCAGGAAGGATTAAATAGGGCAGGGGATTTGATGGCAGGAAGCAAGAAGGAATACGGGAAGAGACAAGCCTTTGAAAATGCTACATGCAAGCTTTCTATTTTGAAATTCTCTTAAAATACATTTATATATACACACATAATAAGAGTTCAAATTGTGAACCCTCTAACAGGGGGACAATGCCTCCCTGAGGCTCCATAGGCTATCAAACAGAAATGCTAGTTCAAGGTATAGGTTATAGTTTTTCATATTGTTGGTCGGTGGAACCTCTGAAACATTACAGGCTGTTGACATTATCCTTCAGAACGTGATGGTTAGGCTGTATGGAGATAGCCACATAAATCTAAAACACTGAGCAATGACACTTGCATGGACCTGGAAGTTATATCTCCCCTGGGTAGCTTCATAGTGGTAGAAATTTCTGTTGGCTCCAATAGGGGAAAAAAGTATTCCACACTCTTACACTACTGTGAACCCTGCGAGCTTCAGTAAAGATTGGGTTGGCAAACTGGGACAGTAGGGTTACTCATGTTATAGGAATAGCCATGCAGTTTATGATTACATCTGAGGCCATGCCACAACAGAGAACTTACTCTTGGTATGAAAATGGACTCAAACCATGTCTTAGTCTTAGGCCATAGGGGAGAAACTATTATGATTATTCTGTTAAATGAACATAATAAAAATCAGTCTATTAAGTTCATATCTTTATACCCATAGGTGAGTGCATGTCACAAGCCGAATCAGAAAAGCGTCTTTTTACAATGTATTGTGCCTACCACAGATACCCAGACTGGTCACCATGCAGAGAATAAGAGACTGTTCAAGGTTCAGCTCTAAAGGGACAGATGCATCACCCATCATGGTCATGCAGGCTCAGGGATCATTGCAGAACAGAGAGGGAAGATTGTAAGAGCCGTGGGTAGTGAACATTGGCAGTGGAAGAGCATACTGGACATGAGAAGGCTGTTGTCCACACAACCTCACCGTGGCTGTGACTAAGTGCACAAGACATGCAGGAGATGGAGGCAGCAAAAATCCCAGCATGGAATAGAGATGAGCTCACAAAGCCCCGACTTGCTGAGAAGATTTGGATGTTGAACACAACTAGGGGAAAGGGAGTAATTTTCTTCAGGATTGGGGTCCATGAAAGGGATCATGCTCCTTTAGATTGTCTTATACCATGACCCACAGGAAACAGTAAATGACCTCATGGGGAAAAAAATAAAGCAAGAGCTGTCACATAAATTTAGAGTGAAAAGAGGAAGGAGATAGTGGGGGAATTGGTAGGGTATAAATAAGGGGTAGGTCCCCTCAGATCATATTCTATGCTCATATGAGATTCCCAAACTATAAAAAAGGATTTGTATGCCTTAACTTGAAAGGTTTTAGGGTTTCTATATAAAACAATTTGTCACAAAAATACAAGTGGAAGAAGTCATTATGTTATAAATCTGCTTTATTTAGCAATTTCAAGAATGAAAAGATCAGAGAGGATATCACATGAGAGCAAACTCTGTACATCACATGATCTTGAGTTGTGTTATGATAGTTACTGCCAGGGAGGTTCACAACATTGAATTCAGGGTTTTCTCAGGTCACAGGAAACTGAGGGGAAACTCCAGTATAATTGAGTGAAATCCATCAATAATTTCCAGAATGTTTGAGACAGAGACACCCTTTTATAGGAAGCTTCAGAAACACGCCTAGTGAAACACTTAACTGGAAACAAACCTACAGTTTACAGCACCGATTGTGAGTGAGTCCTGATGTGAAGTCAGAGGGTGACAATCAGAGGATGAGTAATAGGGACCCATGGGGTAGAGACAGAGAAGCAACAAGGACTCAGCCCTCAGCCCTAATCAGAGAGCAGAGGTCAAAGGTCAGCAAGGACAGCCCCTGAGCACAGGGCTCTGCAGCCAGGGGAGCTGGGATCAGGGACAGGCTCTGGTGGCAGGGACTCAGTGCCTGTAGCTCTTCCTGCTGGAGGAGGTGGTGGTGTACTTGATGGTGGAAGAGCTGCCACCAGAGGAGCTGAGGCCACCACTGATGCCTCTGCCACTGCCAGAACTGAAGCCACCTCCAAGGCCATGGCTGCTGCTGTAGGAGTAGCTGCTGCCTCCTCCCAGGCCCAAGCTGCCGCTGGCACCACCTGCACTGCCATAGCCGCTGGACACGGTGGACTGCACCACAGCTGTGAGGGAGGCAGAGGGGACAAGGGTCACTCTGAGCCCACGCTGTCCAGTGAGACAGGCACAAGGCAGGGGTCGGGCAAGTGGGCAAGCATAGTACTTACAGATGTTGACTGGTCCAACGCCTTCACCATTCAGCCTGGAAGAGGAACAGGGCAGATAAGAACTCGGGAGACAAGACCTCAGTCCCCATGGTAATCCTCAGTCTGTTGACAGTTGACAGAGAATCCCCTGGTCTAGTGGTTCCTGAAGGTAACCATTGTGGCCACAGCTAGTGCTCCCTCATCTTGTGCTCAGTGCCTGGCATCAGAAGGTGTCTGCAGGGGCCGGAGGAGGGGTGAGCACTCACCTGCACTCCTCTCCTTCCAGCAGCTTCCTGTAGGTGGCGATCTCCACATCAAGGGCCAGCTTGACATTCATGAGCTCCTGGTACTCCTTCAGCAGCCTGGCCATGTCCTGTTTGGCCTTCTGCAGGGCGTCCTCCAGCCCTTCCAGCTTGCCCCTGGCATCCTTGAGGGCCATCTCCCCACGCTGCTCAGCCTCAGCGATGGCAGCCTGCAGATTGGCACACTGGGCAGAGAGAGGGAGCAAGAAATACAAACTTGTATTGTGTTTCACTGGAGAGGCAGAACTCCAAACATTTGCTCCCAGTAAGCAAGAGTCTAGAGGACAGAAAATAATGGACAGCAATCTCTGACATTTCCTGTCTATCCCACCTGCTTCTTGACGTGGTCAATTTCAGATCTCAGCCTCTGGATCATGCGGTTGATCTCTGCGATCTCCTGCTTGGTGTTGCGCAGGTCATCCCCGTGTCTTCCTGCTGTGACCTGCAGCTCCTCATACTGAAGGTCAGTTGAAGAGATAATATTTGTGTGATGTTTAGAATTCAAAAGCAAATTCACTTCTAGATGACCTGCACTGTCACTGGTGTAATGGCTTTTCCTCAAGAGAAGTTCTGAGAGAACATGGATTGCATATCTCTCTTCTGAACCAAAAATGTTCTGTGTATTCTCATGAGGTCCCTTATTCCAAGTACAGCTCATGCAAGGAGAGCTGGAACCTATTTATAAAAACTCTCTTTTATCTGTGTTTTTGGATCCTTGAATTGCAATGTAATTTTATGATGCAAGTACAACAACGTCCAATTGCAATGACAGGACCCCTTTTCTTCCTAGTATATCTCTAACTCCAGTGATGTCTAAGAATTATGGAATTCATTGTGTGTCCCAGATATTCCTCTTCAGCATCTAACTCAGTACTCACTTTTGTCTGGTACCAGGACTCAGCCTCAGCACGGCTCCTCTGAGCAATCTCCTCATATTGGGCCTTGACCTCAGCAATGATGCTGTCCAGGTCCAGGCTGCGGTTGTTGTCCATGGAGAGGACCACAGATGTGTCTGAGATGTGAGTTTGCATCTGAGACAGTTCCTACAGAACAGAAAGAGGCAACATCAGCTTTGGATGTGAGGATTCCAGATGTTCCCAATATTCCACTCTCAGCTTGCACAGGATAATATAATTGGAATGAGGGCAGAGTATAAGAGTTAGAAGGAGAGAGAGAGCAGACAGACAGACAAATAGACAGGAAAGATAGAGATAAAGAGACAGATGCAGAGAGATACAGGCATGACTTACTGCATCATAGAGAGCTCTCAGGAAGTTGATCTCATCTGCCAGACTGTCTGACTTGGCTTGCAGTTCAACCTTATTCATGTAGGCTGCATCTACATCCTGAGGAAACAGTCAGCAATAAAGAATCAGGTTAGTTCTCTTGTTCTGTCCATTTTTCTCCACCTCGCCTTTATCATGCTTTGGAATGGATCAGGCATGCAAATCATTTCTCTCCATCTGTCATCTCACCTTCTTCAGGGTCACAAATTCATTCTCTGCTGCAGTACGCTTGTTGATTTCATCTTCATATCTACAAGAGGGAGGGTTTAGCACATTGTAGCTAGTGAGCAGATAGCATCAAATGCAGCCTGTGACCCAGCCCCCAATATCTATAAATGCAATATATCCCAACGAGGCCAAAGGGTGATTTTTCTGTTAATCAATAATTCATTTGTTTCTTTCTATTAGTTCCCTATAACCCTTCATGGTCTTAGTCTCTTGCTCTTTGGGAATTATTTGTTCTTTCATCTTTATGACTGGGCTTTCTTAATTAACTGAGTCCACGTCTAGATTTGGGTCTACATTATCATGAACTTTGGCAGACTGGACTGTTTTTAACTCACTTGTTCTTGTAGTCCTCCACTGTGTCCTGCATGTTCCTCAGCTCTGAGTCCAGGCGGCCCTTCTCCCCAAGGATGCTGTCCAGCTGCCTCCTGAGGTTGCTGATGTACTGCTCAAACAACGGCTCCAGATTCTGCCTCACGGTCTTGGTGCCCTGCTCCTGCAGCAGGGTCCACTTGGTGTCCAAGACCTTGTTCTGCTGCTCCAGGAAGCGCACCTGGAGGGGCCATGAGTGAGCAGAAATTTGAGTTTCATTCTTCAGTGACCTTTCACTAGTGTGACACCTGTCTCAGGCTGTCTGTCTATACCCGTTCAGGTATGCAGTGCCTGGCCCTGGGTCCAAGAGACCATCCAGAGTGAAGCTGTCACATCACCCCTCTGAGGAAGGCAGAGCTCTCAGGTAGGGCATAGGCAGCCTAGAAGAGGCATGCTGGTTGTGGTTCAGTTTAGTGTGGCTGGGATGGCTCCCAAACTGCCCTTGGACACATCTCCCTCAATACTGTCATCTGATAGGTGAGGCCTGAACTCATCTCAGCCCATCTGAGTCAGACACCCTTATGGGGCCACCTCTGGAGGAGAGAACTTTGTCTCTGAACGCCAGCTGCTAGGACAGAGTCAACCAGAAACCATGACACTGTTTGTGCAAAGCCTAGAATATCTTCCCTCCACTGCTGCCTTTTGCATCCCTCCAGAGCTGCTCCCGCATAGGCTGCTCTAGGAAGAACCAGCCTCACCTTGTCGATGAAGGAGGCGAACTTGTTGTTGAGGGTCTTGATCTGCTCACGCTCCTCGGTCCTCACGCGCTGGATGGTGGGGTCGATTTGCAGGTTCAGAGGGGTGAGGAGGCTCTGGTTAATGGTGACCTCTTGGATGCCTCCAGGGGGGCACACGGGGAAACCAGCGCCCCCATAGCCACCACCAAAGCCAGCTCCACCACCGAATCCAAAGCCACTGCTGGCTCCTCCAAAGCCAAAGCCTCCTCCAACTCGGCTGCCATAGCCTCCTCCAATGCCGCAGCTGCCCCCTCCAATGGAGATCCTCTTGGAGCTCCCCACACCATAGAGGCTCCTGCTGCCAAAGCCAGCTCCTCCACACACAGCCCCAGAGCCACCACTACCCCGGGAGCGGCACACAGACACACTGCTGAAGCCAGAACGGTTGAGCCCTGGCACTCTGGCCGAGCTGGCACTGAAGCCACGGTGGCTGGTTTGACTCCTGATGGTGGTTTTGGTAGACATGGTTCCTGGAGATGAGAAGTCTGTGAAGTGGAGGTAATGCAGGGCAGAGCTGGGCAGATGAGGGTGATAGGCTCTGGGCAGCTGCTTATATATGGTATAGATGGGTTGGGCTAAGTCCTGAAGGTGAGCTTGTAGAGTGGGAAGGGCAGGGCTTTACAAATAATGAGATCACCCCCAAGTTGTAGAAAGGTATGATACATGAAGATTGCTTTTGGCTTCCTTTAGTCATGGAGCAAATTCTCCTGCCTTCCAGCCTTGACTTGATCTGAACACAATGAGCCTGGACGCAAATTCTCTGAAGTCATGAGTTAGTCATCTTCTCAAACAAAAGAGACAAGGAGCTGATCTGTGATAATTGTCCCTTCATTCTGCTTATTTGGACACTCCCTCTGTGCCCCCTCACCACACAGGTTTTCCCTTCCTCCTGCCCCTCCCTCCCCAGCTCAGTCAGAGTCTTCCTGAAGTTGTAAAGGCATTTGCCTAATATCCCAATCTAGACATTGTCAGCTACCTGTAATTATTCTTCTGTAGCTCCTGGCTGCTCTTCTTGGTGGTCTGGCATGGCCAGAAGAGGCTTTTTGCCCAGATAACCCCCTAAGGCCAGAGAATAGAGAAATTAATGCTCTCCTTTGTAAGACTAACATTGACTGTGTCCTGTATGTTAAGTGTCACTTAGCTTTTTCCTGAGGACAGAGGCACACACCAGCTGTCTTCCGCAGATGCTCCATCCCAGTTGTAGCCTCTCTCCCCAGTTTGATCTTTTATTCGTCTGTTTCTTTTTAAATAATTTACTAGTATTGTTACTATTATTATTATTTTGCTTTATATGCATTGGTGCTGTGCCTGTGTATATGTCTGTGTCAGGGTGTCAGGTCCCCTGGAACTGGAGTTACAGGTAGCTATGAGCTGTCATGTGGGTGCTGGGAATTGAACCCAGGACCTCTGGAAGATCTGTCAGTGCTCTTAACTGATGAACCATCTCTCCAGTCCCCAGTCTGATTCTTGAGTAAAACAGTCTTTCCACATTCATAGACATCGTCCTTTGTGCTGTGTTGGATGCTGTCTTAGAGCTTAAACTAAAGAACCCCAAATGGGAAGAAGCACAGTCTTCCAGGAATTCTCAGAATTATTCTAACCATCAATTTGAACATGTCTCAGTAATCAGAGTTGGTATACATAGGGTGTGTCTAGAAAGTCGAGGGGGCATATAGAAGCAATGAATCACTGAAATGTGCCCTTACAAGTGTGGTGATTTCACAAGTCCATTCCCAATTTATTTTTCTAGTCTAGTTTCTTGAAAAAGTTAAATTTCAAAGGAGAGTTATTCTTGCTTTCCAGGGGAGCATGGTTCGCTTCTTCTAGTCCATGCGTTAAGAACCACGCATGAGAAAAACAGAACAGTTCTATGTGTGTTTTCTCTGAGAACATGTAGCTGGAGAAGCATTCATGGGCGGACAGGCCAACTCCCACACTGAGCAGAGCATGCACAAGGCCCGGTCCTGTTGTGAATTCAATCACTGCTCTCTGGCATGCTGGGGACCCGGCATCCAGGAAGGTTGGAAGCTCCCAGCTCCTCTAACGTGCTAACTCAGCGTCTGGCAGAACAGAGATACCTTCTCCAGACAACGGAAGCAGCTGCCCTCCCTCCACCCTGTTGCACAATGTGCTTCCACCCAGTTCTGGGAAACAAGTGCTTCTCATGGTTTGCAGCACTGATTCTCACTCTTCTCTTGAGTTAGGGGCACTAGGTGTGGCTGGACTGCAAGGTAGGGAAGCCAGTTGATGCAACATGTGTCTTCCCACTTCCCTACTGTATGTCTATTTCAATGTCTGTAACTGCTCCACATAGTGACAACCAAGACTGCGATTTGCAAAGCCGGAAGAATTCACTATCCATTCCTTTAAGGAAGTCCTTTGCCAACCCCTGGTACAGAGCGTGAGCCCTAGGGTCAGACAGATCAGGTTCCTGTGTGCTCATATGCAAACCACTGAACCCTTCATGTGTGCTTCTATACCCATAGACAAGATGAAAATTGTGCCTCACAGCATCATGAAGCAGAGATGAGAACAATTCCGTGAAGGTCTTAGTGCAGTATCTGACACACATGTTCTCAACGAGGATGAGCTAGTTATCATTACTAGAAAGCAGTGTGATGAAGTTTGATGCATAGGGACCCATGAGAAACTTTGGAAACTGGAACGCAGGTGCAGTCTTTATGTGTATGGGGGTATTTGGAGGACAGCAGGATAAACAAAGCCACTGTTACCAAGTTTGTGACCTGGAAGCCACGTGTAGGAGAGCCTGCCGGAACTGCAGTCAACAGGACAGCAACGGGACAGGAAGAATGACTTGCCCACAGGATTGGCAGAGCCCACCCCACTGCCTGAAGGAGCTGTGTCTCCTGGTCAGAGAGCATGAAGCTGGCTCAAGCCCAGTAGGCTACATTCCCTCCTTTGAAGCCAGGCTACCTGCTCCTCCTCTGCTGAGTTCTTATCTGTCTCTGGCTGTGCAGGGACGTGATGCCATTGACCAGTACAGGTGACTGCACCATTTTGTATGTTTTTGAGGGTGGTATGCTCAGTGTGTTGCAGCAGGGACCTCACTTTTGGTCATTGAACCCATCAGAGTTTGATTTAGCCTCTGCTTTCTATCTGATCCCAGGCTTGGCATATGCTCCAGACAGCACGGGTAGTATAAGTGTCATTTGGTTTTCTGACATAAGCTTACCCATTGGTAGATTGGCAAGGCATATTCTAGTACTGTGGTTCTCAACCTTCCTAAAGTTTTGACCCTTTAATACAGTTCCTGGTATTGTGGTGAGCCCAACCATAAAATAATTTTTGTAGCTACATCATAACTGTAATTTTGCTATTATCATGAATCATATTATAAATATCTGATATACAGGATATCTGATATGCAGCCCCTGTAAAAGGGACTTTTGACCTCCATAGGGGTGGAGACCCACAGGTTGAGAACAGAGGTTCTAATATAAAATCCTCCTAGCTGAGCAAGTGTTTGAGTGGTTTCCTTAATCTAGCCGTATGATGTCTTAATTTATGAGTTAATTAAAACAAAGTAATTTTATTTTAAAAATTTAAATCTCCTTGATCACCTGATAGGGAGCACTCTCAAGAACACTCTTCAGTGACTTCATCTGGGAAGACTCAGGGGGAGGAGGGAGCACACACACACACACACACACACACTTTCCCTTTTTCTTTTAAATAGGAACTTACTATGAAGTCATGGCTGGCCTAGAGTTCTGTAGACGAGGCTGGCCATGAACTCAGAGAAATCCACCTACCCCTGCCTCTGCCTCCTCAGCGCTGGGATTAAAGGCAAGTGACTTCACACCTTACTTTAGTATCCATGAGAGTTCTAGGTCAGAGGTACCCCTGAAAGTTTAGAGACTTGCCTGAATTCTCCCTGGTGGCCCTGAGTCATGCCTCACAGTGTCACCGCAGGCAGTTCTGTTTCCCAGAGGACCCAGGTGAGGAAGGGCCACCTTTCATAATAAGACGAGAACAAAGGGTGATAGTTCAGGCAAATATGTGGGGGAAGAAGCCAGCGGTGTGAGTGACTCAATGGCAGCTGGCCTCCTCCCTGGCAAGCTGCTGAAGACAGCCTCTTTCCTGTGCTGGAAGAGTCCTATTCAGTCCAGCCTGCAGCTGCCGCAGGTGGCCATGGAATGCAGAATGCCCTGTTGTTGGCCAGAGGGTAGCCTTCATAGCACTTTGTTCCCAGCATGGAGGTGGGTCAGAGGGAGGTGTTGAAGCCTGGGTCCAGGGAAAGTCACCTCAAGATGATTTGCCTTGTCTTCTAGCCTCCCTGGGTGGAGCCCTGTTGATGATCACAGAAGGCTTAGGACTAAGCACATAATCCCACAAACCACAGGGCAGGATGATGCTATTCCCAGGGAATCCCACAACTGATTCTTCGGGAGTATCCCAAGAGAAAGAAATACACGTGCGGCTGTATGCACGTGTGAGAACAGATTCAGCGGCTCCAGGAGTGGAACGCGCAGACTGCTATTACACAGCCAGTGTGTCAGGTGGTCACTGCACCTGATACGCACTAAACTTCAGTCTCCCTTGTAGTTGCAACTACACCCCCATGACCCCCCTTTTTTTTCCAGAGAACGCACCAGACCAGGTGGCACGTCTGAAAACCTGAGCAGTTTCCACTTCCGCATTTTCAGCGGGATGGGTTCCCTGCATCAGGTGTGAAGTCCAGGTGGTACTGCAAAGGCATTCTCCACATCACAAGATGCTTGGTTCCAAGCTCTGAGCCACCCCTTAACTGTGATTCCTAATCCCCACATGTTACTCCCTGGGAATTTGAAACTGAGGTGTGTCCTGGACCTCTTCTTTACAGAAAAGTGAAGCATTATGACGTCCATTCCTGCCACCCACAGTAGCACGTGGCAAGAGGAGTCTGGGATGCACCTGAGGGACTGGTAATTGCCCTGTGCCAGGATGTACATGTACGACCACAGAACTATCCCTGTTGGCTTATTGATTGATTTTGGTATCTGTTTGTAAAAAAGAAAAACCTTGTTACAGGAGAAACATTTTGAAAATGATTGGTTCTTTTTTATCCATTTTGCCCCTGTGACATTTACAGAGATGGGCTTGTGATTGAAAACATATTTAAAAGGAAGGGACAGCTTGTGGCCTGTCTGGTCGATATGGAGAAAGTAGTTGTAAGAACACTTTATCTTGATCTGAGGAAAGAAGAGATGCTGAGGTTCCAAAGGGGCTGGGAAGGAGGGAAGGAGCAATTTAGAGGTCGAATCAGCCCAGGGCTTGCCTGGACAAGCAGGACAGGGGCCATAGCAGAGGAGGCAAGTAGCTTAGACTTCCCACATATGCACAAGATTAAAAAGAGTCAAGTCAGGGCTCAGAGGGGCCAGGACAATCTCCAAGTGAAATGTTTTCCCGCCCTCTAATCCCCTCCTCATTTGCGCCCTGGTTTCCTCACCACCGCTACAGGATCCACCTTACTAGACTGTGTGACTTTCAAAACTGTAGTGGGCAGGAGGGGCGGGA